CGCTTTATTGCAACAGGCTTTTGACCTCACTTCTCTTCTGATCATTAAGTGAATCAATATACTTTTGATTTTATTTCTACCTTCTACATGAAGTTTGTCTTGTTGGGAAGCATGCTATAATGGTTATCACAGGATTAAGGGACAATGTGATGGTTGCAAATGCAAAGACTGTTTGCCAAATGGCTTTTTATGTATCATCATAATCTTAAATGGTTGTTAAATGAGGCAATAACCTCGTTATCTTAGCTCCCTCAATTGATTGCCATACAATTTAGTATCCAGACCCTTTATCATTTTAGTTGTTCTTCTTTGCACCTTTTCCATAATCTCAACATCTTTTTTGTACTGTGGTGACCAGACCTGGATGCAGTATTCTAAGTGTGGTCACACTAGCATAATGTGAAGCAGTACTATTAATTATTGGTGGCTTTTTCGAAACATTTTGTGTCTTCTCCATCATGGAGAGTCATCAGGGAAGTAAGAGCACATCTGTCTGATGAATAAAAATCATTGAGACCTGACAGATTACATCCCAGAGTTCTAAAGGTGCTGGCAGATGTTATTTCAGAACCGCTGTACCACATCTTTCAAAAACCCTGGAGCACTGGGGACCTACCAGAGGCCTGGAAAAGAGCTGATGTGATTCCCATCTTCAAAAAAAAAAAAAAAAAAAAAGTGAGGAGGAGGGGAACAGACCCAGGAAACTACAGACCAATCAGCCTAACATCAATACTCAGGAAGATACTGGAAAAGATAATAAAAAAACCAGATCTACCAACATCTAGAAACGAGTGAAGCAATAACCAGAAGTCAGCATGGGTTTTTTAAAAACAGATAATGCCAAACCTATTTTATTTCATTCTTCAACATAGTGACTGAATTAGTAGACCAGTGAAATACTGTGGACATAATATACTTATACTTCAGCAAGGTATTCAACAAAGTAGACCGCAACCTATCTCAGCTGTTCTTTGGGTCAACTGCACTGAAAAGACCACTCAATTTCTTCAAACAGGCTTTCTTCTTTTCCAAGAAGTGACAACAAGAAACAACTAAGCCATAGTTTTAAAGTCAGCTCTGGGCTTACAACAGCTCAGAACTGTATTTATGCTTATACATTATTACTCCCTCAATATCCAGCTACCTTCGGGAAAAGTAACATCCAGAATTATCATTAAGCCTCCAACTGACCCCAAACAATATGCTATTAGTAATAATACAACACAATAATCCACCACCAGCACCACAATCACCACCAGCAACCCATCACCAATAATGTCCCACTTTGTCAGCCCAGCATCATTCCGACAACTGCTCCAACCACCGATTCTGAGGTCAGTAAACATTATCCAGGTGTGCCCATGGAGTTTGCTGCTACATAGCACCCACGCACGTCATCACACATCGCCTCCAGGGACACACGCCAGGCAAACCACGCCAGAAGCAAATCACGGCAGAAGTTAACAGTCCAGCACCCTTCGGAGCAAGGCAAGCAGTCCAACAAACTTCAGAGCAGGGCAACCCGGCACAACTGGGCTCGGAGGAAGCTCACATGAGTAGTTAGTGTCACGCAACATCGAAGGGACGTGGGGGTGCGACAACGTACTTCTTGGCAAGCTAGAAAAAAAGTGGGATAGATAGCATCACCACCAGATGGATTTGTAAGTGGCTGACAAATTGTACCCAACAAGTACTCCTTAGTGGGTCTATGTCTATACTTGAACACTGGGCCCTGTGAAATTCAGTGTAGAGAAAAGTAGTCTTTCATTTAGGCAAAAAAAACCAAAAGTACACATATAGACTGGGTGAAACCAGGCTTAATAGTAGTTATTGTGAAAGGGATCTTGGAGTCTTAATGGACAACCAAGAGACTCTAGAAAAAGTACAGAGAAGAGCAACCAGGATGATTAGGGGACTGGAGACTAAAACATATGAAGAACGGTTATAGGAACTGGGCATGCCAGTTTAGTGAAGAGAAGGACCAGGGGAGACATGAAAGCAGTCTTCCAGTATCTGAGGGGCTGCCACAGAGAGGAAAGGATCCAGCTATTTTGCAAAGTTCCTATAGGCCAGACAAGGAATATTGGATGGAAATTGATCAAGGAGAGATTCAGCCTTGAAATAAGGAGAAACTTTCTGACAGTGGGAACGATGAACCAATGGAACAGCTTGCCCTCTGAAGCTCTGGGAGCTTCATCACTGAAGGCTTTCAAAAAGAGATTGGACTGTCATTTGTCAGAAATGGTGTAGGGCCTCTTGCTTGAGTGGGAGGTTGGACTAGATGACCTACTAGATCCTTGTTCTGACCCAGGCACCAACTGCATTTAAAAGTAAAACCTTTTTTAATGCGACGCTGGGAATTCCCAGCCAAAACTCATTAGACACAGTTCCTCCAGATAAGAGCATGCTTTTCAGTGCTGCAGAATGCTGCCAAGAAACAGTAGTCCAATTACTTAGAATATAAACCGACAGGAGTCCCCTCAAAAACAAACCAGAGTTCGCAGGACTTCACTGATGAATCAGAATCTAATGAATGTCTTTGCTTCTTGCAAAGAGCACGTCACTGAGGGCTGACTTTTATCCCTTACAGGAGGGGTAATCACCTTTTAGCCTTACTCCCGAGTCACCCCTCTGCTTCAACTGCTCTCTCCTTCTAGCAGCCCTGCGCACACATGCATTGGGGACAGGCTCCCCTGGTTCCTCTGCATCGCTGCTGCCAGACTCTGAAGGCTCCGAAGGCAGCACCCCACTCTCAGATGGTCCTGGCCCCATACCTGCATCAGATGCAGGACCCTCGTCCAAGTCCTTGCCAGACTCCCTGACTGGTTCCCTTTCGTCCTCACTGTCCAATACCTCTGCACCGGCTGCCAGCAAACCACAACCAACAGTTTCTTCCAACTCTGTTAATCTGTCTTCAGCTCTTCAAGTCAAATCCTCTGTAATGGTATCATTTTCAAAAGCCTACCAACTCACTGGCACACCCAATGGCTGTTTTAGAGGTTGTAATGTTAAAAGGGAAACCGTAGCTTAGTTGTCCAGTTTGAAACATCCTAATTTCCTTCTCTCAGACTGGCAGCAATGGAGAAAAACATCCCTGAATCTGAAAAGAAGGCCAATAAAAACAGATCTAGTTTATCCATTCTTATTTTTTAACTGTGCCTAATGAAATGTCATTCTTTCATAGAATTTAGGACTGGAGCAGATAGCAATGCAACAAATAAATTAAGAGGCAGAAACCTAATTGCAGCTCACATCATCAGAGTCACAGAGTCCATGGACTGATGAATGACTGAAATTGAAATTCTAAATTTATAATGAGGGAAGGGAAGCTGAGGAAAACAGATTGGTCAGAGATGCAAAATGAAGAAGAGACAGATTACAAGTTAACAGTTGTAGTTCATTAGAAACCCACTGTAAGTGTGTAGTCCTCATCACTGAGCAAAAGGTGGGAAATGAGCTTTATCTTTTTATTATTAAATTCATTTATTAAACTTAATAGCTACTACTTTCACAGTCTGAGGCAACTGTGAGCGCCTTGCCTTGCCCTAATATTCATAGCAACGCTGACAATACCCATTTTTTACATGTCAAATGCTTCTGATAATTCTTACATAATGCATTTTTAAAAATGAGACATTTTCTCTCTTTTTTTGCATTTTTTTTTATTTTTATATTGTAAAAAAACATCTCTTTGGGTGAACAATGTGGTTCCAGTTTTACATTTCAATACAAAGATAACCATGATTACATATGTAGCTTTCATATCCAATTTCATATATTATTACTTATTCCATTTTTCTTTAAATATTCTCATACATTATTACATTCATTACACTCATTTTATCCAATTTTAATTCATATTATAGCTTATTTCATTTTTCTTTGAATATTCTCATGCCTTATTTTACAATATTGTCTAAATTCTTGTTTCATTTCTATACTCATTACACATATTTACTTTTACCAGTCATATTTGCAAGTTTATCACATACTATTATTCCAAAATTATCCCCTTTGTCAATTTGAGCTTGTCACCCCTTTACCATATACATTCTCCTGTTTTATTCCCTTTAATTCATTGTAAACATTTACCATAATATAGTCATTTTTTACTTACGTTACACAGTAATAACAGTAATCCCCTACTACATATCTCTCTCTCTCTCTCTCTCTCTCTCTCTCTCACACACACACACACACACATATAAAGTCAGATTCTGCATGTGTTCCCTTTTTTAATTACATTCTAAATCATCTATTTCAAAAATATTAATCTGTTCAATTAATTTTGGAAGCTAATAATAGTCTTTTCCATTGCAATTCTCATAATTCATTTTAACTTTATTCATCACTTTATTAAATATCAATAAATATTCTTATAGTAAATTCCCATTTCCATATCTATTTCAGTAAATCTATATGTGGTTTGGTAGTAATCTTTAAAAAAATATATCAGTGCCAGTCTTTTCTATTTTTAAATCTATATTCTTAAGTATCACAAAATGTTTCCATGTAGAATCCCCCTTCCTACTCCTCTTCTACCCATTCTCTCATCCTGACTATATAATTTCCCATCATTTTCTGATCCTTTCTCTTAATTTCCCTCTTTTCCCCTATTGTTTCCCTCCATTTCTTACACCAATTATTTATTTTATCCTGCTCCCTCTCTTGATCTTTCCTCTGTAATTCCCTCTTCTGTTGTTTCCTTTTCCTTTGTTTAACTTTCCAAACAATTCCCCCTTTATTTATCACATCAAGCCTCAAAGTTTTAGCTTTAATTCTTTTTTTCTTCTTCTTGTTTTAATGTTCGTTGTTCCATTTGTTCTTTAGAGCTGGTTTCCTCTTTGTTCAACTACTCTCCTCTGGCTCTCTTTGTTCTTCTTTATTTTACGTCTCCATTTCTAATTTTTGTAGTATAATACTATACATTTCCAAGCTTACTTTCATCATTCCCTTCATGTTTGTAGTTCCAATCTTATTTCCACACATATTTTACCAAAAAAATGAGACATTTTCTATTGTACATTTTTTCCTCATGTTAAGGTAGCAAAACAGAGAGGTTTGTCCCTCTTCTGCATTATCAGTGTGGACAGTGTGGCAAAATAGCAGCTGCTTCCACAAGTAATAATTCCACAATAATAATAATAATATAATTTCTTCATTAACATTTCATCTACCACTAACAGTATATGATCAAATGTTGTTTGCTCTTTATAAAAGCCATATATCTCTTAACATCTTTCTCATATCTTGATTGCATCTGCATATGTGGCCACCATGATAAATCAACACCCTGTTTTTGTAGTTCTTGTTTAGTTTTTGGTTCCCCTTCCACATTCAAAATATCTATATACATTAAAAAATTTTCAAGATTTGAGTGACCAAATGCTTCCATTTTCAAACAAAATGCGAGCTATCAATTTCTCAAATACACATTCAATGGAAGATCACAAATGAAATTCCAGAATTCTCTAAACTCATCTACTTTTTCCTCATATTTGTGTGCAATAAGTTATGATTTATACTTGAAATAATATCTACACACTGGACAGTTCAACGATTTCTCTCAGGTGTATCACCAGGTGGGAATTCTGACTGTAATGTTTCCCACAATCATGACATTCAAAGGGTTTCTCTTTCCTACTGTGAGTCCTCTGGTGCCTCACAAGGTTGGATTTGCGACTAAAACTTTTCCCACAGTCAGGACATTCAAAGGGTTTCTCTCCTGTGTGAGTGCTCTGGTGTTTCATCAGATCAGAATTCTGTATGAAACTTTTCCCACAAAGAGGACATTCAAAGGGTTTCTCTCCTGTATGAGTCCTCTGGTGTATCACCAGACTCGAATTATCACTAAAACCTTTCCCACAAATAGGACATTCAAAGGGCTTCTCTCCTGTGTGAATCCACTGATGTTTCACCAGGCTTGAATTATTACTAAAACTTTTCCCACAAATAGGACATTCAAAGGGTTTCTCTCCTGTATGACTCCTCTGGTGTATCACCAGGTGGGAATTCTGTCTGAAACTTTTCCCACAATCAGGACATTCAAAGGGTTTCTCTCCTGTGTGAGTCCTCTGGTGTATCACCAGGTTGGAATGATCATTAAAACTTTTCCCACAAAGGGGACATTCATAGGGTTTCTCTCCTGTATGAGTCCTCTGGTGTTTCACCAGATGGGAATACTGTCTGAAACTTTTCCCACAATCTGGACATTCAAAGGGTTTCTCTCCTG